GAATGTGCCGCTTCCAATCCATTTCAGAAGAAAATTTCAATCGGAAACCTTCTCATGAAAGGCAATAAAAATTTTCTTTTTTTTTTCTTACAAAAGGATTAAATTAGTCATTCAGAAATTCATTTAAACACTATTTTAAAAAAAGGACTATTTCTTTTCAAAAAAAAAAAAACATCTATTTCACTCGAAGGGTACATATGTATTAATTTACAGTCACTTCTTCTAGCAACGCTCATAAAAGTCAAAAAAAAAATTAGTCATTATAAAAATTTGGTTCATCATCTTCTTGTCGTCATCAAAAACACTCTTGTGACTTCTGTTCGTTTCTAATTCATTGCTGTATGTTGATGTTGTTGTAATTGTTTTCGATGATGTTGTATTTGTAACTTGGGACAGGCGATTCCGATACGATAATTCAATTGTGAGAACCGATTCCATTATAATTTCAATTCCAAAAAAAACAACGATTTTTGCTTATGTCTAATGTATGAACGAAAATTTTGATCTTAAATTGATTCATAACTTTCGTCATTTTAAGAAAGTTATGCTTTAATCCAATTTTTTTAAATTTTTTCTGAATTTCATATCAAGAGAAATAAAAGGATTTATTAATTTGCATATAAAGTATTTTGATCAATAATAGAAAATTTTATTTAATACTTTAAATAAAAAAAAATTTAATATCCAAGAAGATCACTTTTTCTAACTGTTGACGAATTTTTCTTGAGGAAATAGAACACATACATCTTGGTAAAGTTGATCGAACAAGATTTTTAAGTACATATTTTATATGCCGAATCGTTACTATGTCAGTTTAAACTAGAAAAGTAATCACACAAATATTATTTTTGTACTCAAAATATGTCAAGATGGTTGTTTGGCGAATATCTAATGCAATTAAAAGAAAGTTTATGAAAATCACATCTTTTGATATATAAACGAATCAGATAGTGCTTGTTAAGGTTAATTAATTTGTAACTATAAGTATACTCGATATATGTTGTTTTGTAATATATTTTCTCCTCGTCTGATGTACATCAAATTTATGAGTGTAATTAACGAACATATATATATAGGCAAAATCATCCATTAGTGACGCGACTCTTCAAAACTAAACTATGTGCATCGCAGGATAATAAACATTCTCCGAACTAATTTTTTTTTGTTACATATATATATTAAATTACTGGACATGTCCTGAAGAAAATCAGTGCTAGAGATCTTTGTTCATAAGAGTTATCAGTAAAAACCTAGCGCGAGCAACGTGACACAAATAAAGACATTGACTTTCACTTGATAGGTTTTAGTTCAAAAAAAATTTCCAAATTGAGGCAGCACTTTTACAAACTAAATAATATATTTTGTATACAACTCCTAAGGCTACAAAATCTCTATGGAAAGTTTTTTCTGGACATGCTTATATTTTTCAAAAACTCGATTTACTTTCAAGTTTTCAAAACCAACTTCAAACGATATAAGTTCTTCTTTAGATGATGTTAAAACAAATATTTTTGTTTCGAAACTTCTTGGACTCTCTAGAAAACTGATTTATAGGAAGAAAATTTTCGAAATCCAATCTTACTGAAAATTTCGTCATAAATACAACTCATGTTGTAAAGTTTATCCTGAGTTTGTTTCTCAGAATTTTTTCTCATATACTTAAAGAATAACATATATCTGTGTTAAAAGAACTTATCATTAGAAAAATACCCTTTGCAAATACTTAAGTCAAATAAAAGGTGAGCATGTCCTGTTTTATTTGAAATAGTTCATATATTAACTTAATTTAACATTTTGTTATTATCATCAAAACATTTGAGAATGATGGATAATCGATCTTATAAATAATAAAATGTGATGATTCCATATGTACATAAATTTCAAAATGGAATTATTACTTTTGGTATTTTGTCAAGTAACCTGCGACCCCTATTATAAAACGAAATGATCGGTGTCCATGCCTTTTTCTGTGTACATGGTTTTAACATTGGAATATTGTTCTCTCTGTTTTTCTTTTTATTTGGAAATAATGTTCTTTTGCAAAGTCAATTATTTTCGATTTAATTCTATTCGAATTACTCGTAAGATAAAAATATTTTATTTGAATAAAATCAATGACTTTGTTTTTTTTTTCTTCTTGAAGTTCATCAAATTAATTCAAGATTCAATCATCAAACAAATATTGGTGGATGTAAATAATAATTTTCTGTGAAAAAAATTTCTTTGATTTTAAATCAATTCTTTCTCTTTATTTCAAGTTTAGTACGTCAATATTTTGATAAAGAAATAAATGAACATAAAAAAACAGGCCGTTTACCATCAACATTTTATTTAAATGATGTTAAATATTATGAAATACTTTCTTGTATACGTAGTAAATTTGATCGTCTTGCATATCTTCGTACTTTAATATCAATTATTGGTATTTCGCCATCAATTCCTATACCACAAGATTCTGGTGGTATTCATACAGGATTTTTATCTCCATATCGTGTTCTTCGTCAATCTGATCTAGTCGATATATCAGCATGGAATTATATAAAAGCTCAAAGACTTGATGAAAATCTTCTATTGAATTGTTCTGGAATATCTAGTCTTGCATTAGCACAATTAATTATTGATATGAGATCAAAATTTAATTTATTAAATGAACCATGGTGGCCAACATTAATTGGTGTATCAAATGATACTCATAAAGAAATAATTGATATATTAAAAAAAAAATATCAATTACATGGTGCACATTTATATACATGGGATACAAGAGAAAATATATCAAATAAAAAAGATTTAACATTAATTTGTGCTAATCGTGGTGAAACAATTTATGAACTTGATTCGAATACGAATTATATTGTTCAAATTGATGGTGATCAACGATTTTGTTGTTTAGGAAATGCAACAAATGATAGTGAAAAATTATATAAAAATATTGTTAAAATTGAATTCAGGATAAAGTAAATTTGTTTTGTTTTTTAAACTTTTTTTTTTTTTTTTTAATGTAAGATTTTGTTTTTCTCTTAGAAGTATTAATGTATCAAAACGAATTCTATCATCTGATGTATTTACAATATTAGCTTCATTAAAAATGAAAGGTTTATTTTATAAAAAGATGTTAAAAGGAGATGATGATGAAATTTATAATATAAAACGAAAAGCCCGTAGTGGTTTAATATCTACTTAAATTTGTTTTTTGTTATTTCAGATTTAATATGAGTACACTTGAAGATCTTCGATCAGCAGTTAAACAAACACTTGAACAAAATGGTTCATTAGCTGCAACACGTGCTAAACTTCGTGCTGATATATTTGCAACATTGCAAGATCCAACGGAAGTTAAACCGAGAATTCCACATGAGAATTTACTTATCAATGAACTTATTCTTGAATATCTTAATTATAATAATTTACATTGTGCTGCGTAAGTTAATTTTCTTTTCCTATTTTAGGCATAATTAGTTGAAATGTCTTTTGTAGGTCAGTACTTGCTGCTGGTATGTTGATAGAAAAAGATTAAAATAATTTTGTTGTAATAGATTTTTAACGGCAATTTCTAGAGTCCGGACAGCCAACACCATCACTTGGCAGAACTTTTGTTGCTGAACAACTAAATATACATGACGATGATAAAACACGACAATTGTAAGAATTATTTTATTGAAAAGCGTCTTGTCTTTTTTTCTTAAATTACAATATGGTAAATGAGGAGGAGCGAAGTCTAAGAAGTAACACACACATGAGTATTGAATCTCCAGTGAGCTGCAAAAAAAAAGATTTTATAGTTTCATTGATGATTCATCAGCAAAATAATAAATAGAGCTACTTGTTCGAGAAAAAAAGTTGATACAAGTGATAGAATTTTATTAGTGACACTAAAAAAAATTAATTTATATTTTTCATATTTTGATGCCATTTATATATTCAATATCAGAATAAAAGCAAAATTTCAACGTGTGAAAAATTAAAATAATATTCCACTCTTTTTTATTTTGCTGTTCGATAGTCATTCAAAGAAATAACAATTTTTGAAAAATAAACATCGACTGTTTGTTATATTAGAACTTTCTCATTAAGAACTATCATTTGATAAGGTAATTTATTGAGTATATTATTTATTGATAGTACAATCATAAAACCAGATGGAGATTTATGATAAAAATAGAATGTTGTTATCTCTATGTTTTCTACTATAATAATTTAGCCTGAAGTAAAAACACTGTATAATCAAGCGAAGAACGAATTCTTTCTATAAATAATGCTATCAAACAGTATACTGCATTCATAAAATTCAATTTATTTTAATTAGTGTAATTATTTGACAATTTACACATCAATTCTATCTTTCCATTCCAATCATTGATCTTTTTCATATATTCAGAGTATAGCACAGAATAAGTTATATCGTATCGTAATACAGTTTTCTAGCTGTTGGATTTTCTGTTAGAAGTTTTATAGGTCACGCAGATCGAACCAGTTTGGTATTTTGATTGTCAGTATCAGTTCGACCTCTAATGGATTATGCATTGATTGTTTGAAAGGATATATTCATGCTTGTCTTTTATAAATGAATTATTAGATTGTTCCTGATCTCCATGATTTATATTTGATACTTTCAATTATTTTTGTTTAATTTCTTTTTAGACCGCTGCTTTATTCATTACTATCACATTTTGCAACAAATACAAAAACGGCTAATCGTACATTATCAAATCATACAAATTAGAAAAAAATGAAATTCTTCATTAATCAATGCTAATTTCTTTAGATTTCATTAACAGATTTTGTATATTGTGCGTGTGTTTTTTTTTTTTTTTTTTTGTCTTTGCTAATTCAATAGATTGTTGCAGTAGAATGAATACATAATGCTTGTTTCTACTGCCATCTATAGTCAAGTATAACTTGATTGGTTATTATTTAGTGTCGATCGGACAAACAAAGAAATACATTCTTGTTTTCTTCATTCAAGTATATAGAATTCAAAATAGAGAAAGTATTTTCAGATGTCCGAAAGTGAAGATTTTGAATCATTAAAAGTACTTGAACTTCAAAATGAACTTAAAAAACGTGGTCTTGATACAAAAGGACGTAAAGCTGATTTAATTGATCGATTACGGCAAGCAATTAATAGTGGAAGTGAAGGTGATAATCATTATCATGATTTTCTTATGAAATAAATCATTTTTTTGTTTTTCATAGCTGGTGATACAACAATAAATGAATCTATGCATAGTGATGAAGATGATGATGATGATGATGATGATGAATCAGCTGCAGCTATAATAGAAGATGTTAGTTTATCTATACGACTAAAAAAAAAAACAAATTCTTATTTTATATTTATTATTTAGACTCACAAAGATAATGATGAACAAGAAGAAACATCAGTTGAAGGAAATTCACAAGTAATTGAAGATCATCCTATTGATGAACAAAACATAGATGAATCACCATCAAATAAAAAACGTCGTCTAACAGACGAAGAAATTGAAAAAGAAGTCGAAGAAACTGAAGATAATACAAATGAAAATCAAATAAATAAACAAGAAAATGATGATGATGTATTAAAACAAAAACGTAAAAAAAAAAGTCGTTGGGCTTTAGAACAAGACGAAGAATCAACAGAAAAACAATCAACTACAAAACAAACATCCGATGATGACGATGATGATGATGGTGATGGTGATGGTGATGATGCTAACGATGATGATAATACTAATAGTAGTAGTAGACATCGAGAACGAGATCATGATCGTGATTATCATCGATCATCAAGACAACGTGATGACGATCGACATTATAGTAGTCGACATTCAGAAAAGTATGTAAATATAAAATATAATTTCCATAGGATTCTTTTGTTTTTTTCCCCTCATAAATATGTGAGTGTGTTTATATTGTGCGTGTGTGTGTGTGTGTGTGTGTATGTAAAATGAGAAAAAAAAAACACATCTGTCTTATACATATTCCAAATGGCCTACAATAATATATTGTTATTCAAAATGAAGATTAAACAAGGAAATTTTAATTTATTCTTTATCATTTATATATACATTTATTGCAGTATATCATATAAAAAAAAACAACAGCTCATCTGAAACAAATTATATTTATTTATTTTACTTCGACAATTGTTGTCATGAAATCCGGAATTAAAATGGTAAGCGTTGTAATAGCGAGCGATTATATTATATTAAATATGGATTTAAGATAGACGAATTTGCATATAAGCAAAAAGAAATGTATATATGTTTAGTTAACAAACAATGCATTGTGATTTTTTTTTGCGGATATATGTATGATATTGAAGAAAAGAAGAAATATTATGGTACAACAAAATGAACGAAAGACAATATATATATATGTATAATGATTTGATATGAATATATGGATATTTTAGGTGAAAATAATGTATATGTATAAAATGAAACTACAAAGATATTAAATTCATATCAAGTTGACAAAAGAAAAGACAAATCAATGAACAGGTTTTTTTCTCTACATAAAAATATGATAAAAATATTCATGTGTTATATTTGTGTTATTCAGATTTTCGATTTTGTTGTTTTATTTTATCTTTTTTTCCTATTATATGCAGTTTTGCTTTTATTTATTTTTCTTTTGTATATATAGATCAACCGAAAGAGAAATACCACTTCCAGACGAAGAAACTGTGCAATTTAATAATGATGATGTTGTGCTTGATTTTTGTAAGTTATATTTTTCATGAGAGTTTTATACAATTGATTTGCATTATTTAATTCTAATTATAGGTTTAAAAATTAGATATTAATAATTATTTTTGTAGTACTTCTTTTTTGTTTTTTAGTAGGCAGTTTATGATAATAGTGTCTAAGTTCCCATCTACCATCAAAAAAATAAAATCTAGAACCAAGAACATTCAAATCATATGAAATTTTCACGATATATTAGAGCTTTAGCGGTGGGACTATGCTAAAATTTTCAGTTTTATGTCATGATGTTTTCGCGATATATTCAACGAATAAGGCTCAGAAACAGTGTATTTTGCAACTGAAAATTTCATGTAGGTTTTCATTCTACAGTAGTTGCAGGAAGTTTCGCTACCAGGTAAAAAATACATAAACTGCAGTCCTTGTACCTACTGATAAACCCTGATTGCAAACAGAAATCCGAGGTTGATAGTCCTTTTTGCAAAGGATTTACGATGAAAACATTGGTATTCCACTATTTAGATGTATTAACGTCTATTTTCAAGGAACAGTTGGTTAGAATAGAGCACTCATTGGAGAAAATTCCAAGGGAAATGGGTAAAATCAGCCGAAGATATCGGTTACTTTTCGACAATTTTCATCAATCCTCATATGGAGAGTACCCAAAAATAATTTCATAAATCAGACGAACTAAAACCGTTTGACATGGAATTTTTATTGATGATAGAAGTAGCATTGAACTGTCGAATGAAGGGATTGATGTCAAAAGATTTGTTTTATATGTTAAAATATTCTTGTCTCAAAAGAAAAGTCTATATTGACCTTCTTGCTCCTCCGTATGAAAGCCAATCAAGTTTTGATTAGTCCTAGTAGTCACAATTCAACATGCTTTATTTGTGATCAGACTATAAAACTAAAGAATTAAAGCTTAGGTAATTTGTACGTGGTAGCGGAGCTTTCTGTGACTACTGTGGATATTTAATGTTTTCTTTATTTGAAAGAACACATCAGACTGCAGTGCCTGACAAAATTCTCAAAAAAAAATGGTTATCTATTTATAGAAGTACAATTTTATATAATAAGAAAAAAATTTAATTTAAAAAAGAGGTTCTGTCAGGCGATGCACCTTTACATGCTCTTTTAGAAAACAAAAGTAACTGACTATAATGAAGATTCTTCGAGATTGGTGGGATACTTGATCAGAAAAAACGAAAAAGATTTGTTGTTTGTTTTGGAAACAAATAACGCGTGAAATAAAAGAATCATTTAAGCTATCTTTCCATGCATTTGTTTTAGCTTCGATCATTCTGATAAATATAGGCCTTTTCTGAGGACGGTTGAAGATCTCAATTAATCAATTTTATTATTATTTTGCTTTATGAAGTTTATTTCCCTATCAAAATATTTCTTAGATACTTTTAAATAAATTCATTTCAACTAAGACAATAACTAAAAAATAAGAGAAAAATCTGCCATGAATATATTCAAACGGAGTAAAACAGCTTATAAAAATCACTGAACATTTGTTGACTTCTACGATATTCTATTGTTAGATAGTCTTCTTATCTATATCGACTAACATATAAAAAGAAATACATTTCTTTATCATATAGATACATCGGATTTGAATCTTACTGTTAATCCAGATTGTTTATCAGCATTGAATAAATCTAATGATGCATTATGTTTCTTATGGGCTGGTGCACGTGCAACATATGGATTTAAACAAGGAAAAATTTGCTATGAAATTCGAGTAAATATATAAATCTTTGTTCTATATTTGATTTTATTTATTTATAATTATAGATAACTGAAACAATAAATTGTCCGCAAATGCCCGATAGCGAAAAAGAAAAATTCGGCATTCGTGTTGGTTGGTCAAATTTATTGTCAGGTCTTCATGCGCTTCAATTAGGTAAAATATTCTATGTCAATTTTATTTTATTTTTCCTGAAACATGATCTAAAAAGAGTATTGAAGTATGCGGATAAAAATTTGGACGTCCCCGTGCCGTGACCAGGCTTGCCTGATCTTTTGATTTTTTTCCAAATTCTATAGGTTTTTAGATTGCAGCTTCGTAAGGGTGCAAATGTGGCTGTGGGTCTCTCCTTTACCTATACTTATAGGCTCTGCTAATCTACATTGTATATATGTGATGTGTTTTTGCACTTTTTTGTGAACGAATTTTGGGTTCAGTGACACAGTCCGGCGCTAACATAGGAAGATTCCCAAGTGATAAATCACTTTTAATTTGGAGCTACATTTGTAGAGGAATTCAAGCTACTGAACTTTTGTTGCTGAGATATCGAATTTTCAGTGGATTTTTCCTGTAGGACCCTAGTTTTTAAGCGAAATAATACATTTGCATTTAAACTTGAGTGAAGCCTACATAAATGCGTCGATTAGATTAGATTATAGAAAAAAAACTTCAGAGTTTTTTCACTAAATCTCTTCGGGATATGAGATTTTTTGAAATATAGGCGATTTTCCATGATTTAAAAAAAATATGAATATTTGGAAAGATTCATATGTCAGTGATACTTGGTCAGAAAATTGTGAAATTTTTCCTGCAAACTAATTTAATGGATGCCTTTATGAGGACAAAGTTTCAGATCAAAATTCAAAAGTATGATGAAAACTGTAGCCCTATAGGAAAAATCTACTGAAAATTCGAAGTCTCAGCAAGAAAAGCCTAGTAGCGCGAACTGTTGTAGGGTATTTACATAATTACTAGGCTTTGTCGATTGAAAATAACCCTAGCTCGAAAGCAATTTATCACTTGGTAACTGTTCCTCGTAAGTGTCTTTTTTTTTTTATAGCGGAATACCTTTGAAAGTAAAGAATAAATCGATAAACATAAATTCGATACAGCATTTGGTGTTAACATAATAGCCGCTAGTTCGTAAAAAACCGCCTTTTCTAATTTTTAAGTTTTGACTTGGCAATTCTCATCACTAGAAATTTGCCGCTGATGCGATGATTTTCGAGAAAATCTCTTTCGTCATCGCACTAAAATAAGTCAGTTATATTAAATTCATCAGATTCAGCCTTTCGGACTTGTGGACATTTCAGTCGAGGGCTAATTCATACTATTTTACAATCTTCGTAAAAGAGACGATATCGCCATAAATATCCCTGATACAACCACAGATCCCATATCAATAACGTTTCATTTTAATATATGAACTACTTCCCTATTGTGTATTTCTGGAGAAGAATGGCGATGAAATGTATCTAGAAAAAGATAGAATAAGATGATTCTCTGTGATTAGCGAACAACAGCTGCATTGTGTTTCTTATTTTTAATCTCATAGGGATTACGCTAGTAGCTTCTTTACCTTTTCGGATATAAAAAATTTTCTAGGTGAATTTAATGATTCATTTGCTTATACATCAATCGGTAAAAAAATGAGTAAAACAAATGATGAATTAATTGAAGAGACTTATGGTGAATCATTTGGAACATCTGATGTTATTGGTTGTTATATTGATTTTGGAGATAATGCAGAAGATAATTTAATTCGTATGTCATTTACAAAAAATGGTGAAGATTATGGTCAAGCATTCGAATTTTCGACAAAGACTTCCACCGAGTTTTACCCACATATATTAGTCAAAAACGTTAAATTTGAATGTAATTTTGGACAATTAGTAAGCACAAAAAACAATTAATTTTTTTCTCTAAACAGTAACAATTTTTTTCAAGGAACAATCATGGTCTGAAATCAAATCTGACTATATATTTGCACAACAAATTCCTTTATCAGATCGTATACGTTGTTCGGAACCAATTTTAGAAAAATCAACTTGTCAAGTTATTCTTCTTTCGGGCTTAAATGGTTCTGGTAAAACAACATGGGCCAAGAAATACATAGAAGACAATCCAAAAAAAGATTTTAATTTATTAAATATCGAATATGTTCTTAGTAAAATGACAGTATGTTTAAAAAGCTAAAGCTAAAGCTAAAAATAAAAATATTGTTTTTGTTCTTTGCAGACGGATGGAAAATTACCGATTGTAAAAGATCGTAATGATGGTCTAATGTTACGTGTGAATATATGTTTACAAAAATTAATTGAAATAGCAGCACAACGTCGACGAAATTATATTATTGATCATGTAAAGACTAAAACAAAAGCAACAATAAAAGATTTTTTTTTCTAATATATATATTTAGGTAAATACAACACGAGAAAGTCAATCTAAACGTCAACGTTTATTTACTGGTTATCATCGAATTGGTGTTGCTATTGTACCTGATGATGATGAATTAAAACGACGTATTGAAAAGTTAGAAAAATCTGAAAATATTTCAATACCATCACAATGGATTAAAGAAGCTAAAGCAAAATTTTATTTTCCACAAAAAAGTTCATCATTAGAAGATGTTATCTATCCAGAGTTATCTTATGATGATGCTAAATCATTATATGATAAAATACGTCGAGATTATGATCAACATCGTTCATCATCATCACGTTATGATCGACATGATGACTATCATTCATCACGCAATAATAATCGAAATCGTTATGATGATCGTGAACATCGTAGCCGAGATCGTGATCGCGATCGTGATCGATACGCTCGTTCACGTTCACGTTCGCGTGATCGCGATCGTCGAACATCGTCACGTGATGATTCAAGATTTTCATCATCACATAGAAATGATAATTATCGTGGCGGCGGCGGCGGCGGCGGCGGCGGCGGCGGCGGCGGCGGTGGTGGTGGTGGTGGTGGTGGTGGTTACTCTCGCGGTGGACCTAACCGTTATTCTGATCATCGACAAGATTCAAGAAATAATCAACGTACTGGTTTTCACGAAGGTGGCAATAATAATTATCGTGGAAGAGGAAGTAATTATAATAATCAATCCAATGATGAATGGCGTGGTGGATATCATCAACGAAATGATTTTAATAGTGGACGTAATCGCGGTGGTTTTGATAATAATAGAAATCAATATAATAATAATCGCGGGTCATATCATGATAATCAACGTACTGGTGGATTTAGACAAGATTTTAATAATCAACAACGAGGTCGACAATTTAATGATTATGATAATAATCAACAGCAACCACAACAAAGTGGTGGAAGAGGATTTATGCAAAATAATAATAATTTTAATCAACAACAGGATAGACAAAATTTTGTTTCTAGAGTAAGTATTTAATAAAATGTTTAATATCAATGATATAAATGTTTTTGAGCCCGGTCGGAAAAATTTTTAGTCCTGATTTCGCGCTTAGTAATACATGTACTAGCAGTGTCAATGAGCTCGAGCCATCTGTGATGACTTTTAATATCCTGCTTTTTTTTTGAAGATTCATTATTTTATTTCATGGACTAATATCCACGTTTTGATGGCCCGTATTGGGCTAAGAAATGCTCATGCCTGCCCTTCTAGCTTGGTCCAACTGAGAGTGACACTTTGAAGAGCATATTTCTTTTACGAAAAAGGTTTCTAAATGACAGAAATCCACAATCATTGCAGTCATTTATTCGAACATTGTAAAAAAATTATTACTATAGTGGTTGTGACTTGAATACAGTGGGTCGATTTTAATGCTTGAAAAAATAGTATGAGAGATAAGCTGAATTGCTTATTGAACTGAAAGAGTAGGATGTGTTGGTGGATGCTCCAACTTCTTGAAGACTATCATTTATAAAGATAAGTTGTCACGGGTAAAATTCTTGCTGATCAATTTCATAGAGTCAGATCGGCTACTATTTTTTGTTACATAGTTAACACTGTTCCACTTCAGTAAGATCCATACCACTTAGTACACTTTGTCTTGTGTGTAGATGAGGAATTCCTTACGTGGGAAGTCTTTCGTGAAAGAAAAAGAACTAAAGTGCATATCGAATAGTCCATTTCGAGCCCTAGCCTGAACTAAAAGAAATAGTTCGATTTCAAGTTTCTCCTTTTTATTGATATTTCTATTTCAACACCCATAGCAATAAACAATATAACGGATGCATATTAAATGGACGCACTTTGCATTTCAATTTTCATTCACGTAATATATTGTATTAGAAAAACAAAATATACTATAAGATGCAGTGTGAAAAGCTTATTGTAATTGTTTCCAAAAAGACAAGCAAAATTCTCTGTGAGCAATTTTCGCACGGTCGAAATTTGGTTGCTCAAAATTTTGACCACTTTGTAAGCAAAAAGTGCAACTATAAAAACACCGGCCTTATGTAGATTGTAGAGCTTTTTATGCCGCATCTTGTAGTATATATATTTTTTTTTAATACAATATATTAAGTGAATGAAAATTGAAATGCAAAATGCTGCCATTTAATATGACGCACCCGTTATTTATTCATATATATTTTTTTTAGCCTCCTATGCAGCAACAACCACAACAGCAACAGCATTCATTTCATAATCCACAACAACAACAACAACAACAACAACAACAACAACAACAACAACAACGCTTACAACCACTTCTTCAAAATATACCATCGAATCAACAACAATTTCCGTCTCATATGACACAACAAACAGCAAATAATCCCAATCTATCTTTACCAATACAAAGTTCATTAAATGTTAATCAATTATCTAACCCTGCTAATGTTACTCAACAAAATGCGCTTGATCCATGGCTTGCATTATGTGCAGCTGCTCTCAATTCCCAACCTACAGCAGTAGCAGCACCTCAACAACCGCAACAAGATACAAATTCTTTAACTCAACAATGGGCTCAATGGTTAAAAACAGCACAAATGGTTAATAAAAAAAACTATCTTTAATTTTCTTTTTAATCAAATATTTTTCTATTTAGGCTCAAACAGCACAACAAACACAACCTCAATTAACAGTTCAACAAACTGATTCTCATCAACAACAGACACAAATTCCAGATGCAAATGCATTGTACTATCAAGCCTATTATGCTCAGTTAGCTGCTGCTCAACAACAAGCAGCAGCAGCCGCTGCCGCTGCAGCTGGATCAACGAACGGAGGTGTTGCACCACCCAACACCAATGATAAATAGCTTTTCTTTAAAAAAAAAAACAAATTTTTTGATGTATATAAACCTTTGTTCTAATAAAAAAAGAAACAAACAACTATGAAATAACTAAGAACAAGTGGTCGCAGAGTTCTTTTTTTTTCCTTTATTCATTTTCATATCTCAATTTCGAATTGAGAACATATATATTGTTGTTGGCTTTTTTTTTGTACCGTGTGTAATTCTATTCTTTGTTTCACTATTATTCTCATTACTTTCGTGTCTGTCTTTATTTCAAAAAAAAACCAAAATATCGTTGTTTTGTATTTAAATGGATTTATTGTCTACTTATTGTCTCGAAAAGAAACCAACTAAAGTGATTAAATGAAAAAAAAAACAATTTGCTCTTTTTTTTTCTTTTTGCAATGTAGATGTCTATTATCGATACTATTGATGCATTTGATAAACTTGAATTTAATGATAAACGTTCGTTTGCAGTTGCATCAGCTTTAATTGCTAAATCTATTCAGCAATATAAAGATAATTCATCAACAAAACTTGATAGTCTTAAATTATTATTTGAAATTGAGTAAGTTTAAGTTATATGTTAAATATTGATGTTTAGAAATAATTAATTTTCAGTTCACCTGAAATTATACTTGAACAAAAAGCAATTGAACGTGAATGGCTTGAAAATGATAAGGAAACTATGTAAGATTTTTCTTTTTTTTTTCTTATAGAATATATCAACATTTTGATGATGAATGGCAGAAATGAAAAAACTGATATCAACGAAAATGGAATTATATAACCTCACTTCATATTTACAATATTGAGAGTGATAGTGTTTTAAATCAGTTTATTGTGTTTTACTCAAAATGGTTGCATAGAAATCGTATGATAATCAACAAAAACAAAAACACAATTTTTCGATATTCAGCTTCAGTTTTCAAGGATATTCAAAATTTATCCGAATTTGGACTATTTAAAAAGAAAAGTGTTGACAAATATTCAGTAGCTCTGGACGAAAATCAGCAGAAAGAACAACATTTCCAGGCACTGACATCGGTCTATGCATTGACTTACACCTCTCTAATCATAAATTAACTATTTGTGCTGTAAAACCAAGCGCAAATTTACTCCGTCAATGAGAACAAAAGCAAATACAGTTATAGAAGAGTAACATTCTTCTCAAATATTCTTGAAAGACAATATATCAGAAGAAGAGAGACAACAATCATGATGTCATTACACCAGAGCGGAAAGCAAAGAACACAACTGAGAAAGAATCTTTATAAGTGGACCGAAGAAATAAAATATATGTATGAAATAACAAATGGGGACTACCTACGACTCCTAAGGGTTTGCATGTCACCACACTGCCGCGTAAGCAAAATGTATTATTCTCTAGTGAAAAAAAAAGATGGTACCACGTATCTAACATCATCCGCAACAAGTTAAAGAAAACTGTTATATTACCAGCAGTTTTTGAAATTATAATGAAAAGAACGAATTTGTTTTTTAAAACATGAAGAATTAGAGCTGCCAACAGGCCAATCTTCTGACGTGATTCGAAACTCCTGCAGGCCAAACCATGCTGATTGATGTTTCTGATTTTTTTGAATATGTTTTCTTCTATCACTCTGCATTAATGTATCATGCTAACTTCATTTGCACACTTTATTTCTATTAAGATAATAAAATAGCAAATTAAAACAAAAAGATAATTGTCATAAAACTTTTTTGTAAAACAAAGGCCTGACTTAACGAGATGTCTTTTGATTGTCAATTCTCTTTTGCATAAACGAAACAATGTAATCATAATAATAAAAGTAACAGATGATTAGGCATACAGCCAAGAGATAAAAGAAAATGTACAAAGAAAATCTAGGGAATAATTAAAACTTATAATAACAGTCAAGGACATTTACATTTGACAATGAATTTTAGCAACACAAAATTTCCGATTCCATTGTTTTGAATTTAAACAAGTTCTTCTGTAAGTCAATGTAGGTCCTATAACAGTAAATTGACGTTCGATATAAACATTTATTGTTGGAGTCAAATGAATTTGTCTAGATGCTCTCGAATAATAAGGCGCCGCATCAATATTTCAATTTCACACCGTAAGAGCCAAGCCAACAGCATTGGATTAGGCTGGTTTGCTAACCAGACTGTATATTAAACGAACTGATTAGGCCAGACTAACCAAAAATGAATTAATACGACCTCTAATTTGACTTGAAAACCCTTGTTATGACTATCAACACTCGTACTCACCAAAATCCTAGATTCACCTTAGCCTGGCAGCTCTAAATACTACGAACATCAAAATTCTGTTCAGATAAAAGTATAAAAAGTAATCTCGAGCTAAACTGAATCTCACAGATTTTCTTAAAATCTGTATGAACTGTTCTATCACTGAATAGCTTCATGTTTTGAAATGTAAACTAGAAAAATTTTCCAGTAAAATGATTGGTAAAGTCACATGTTTTTTATTCTTTTTTGTTTATTTTTAGTCCATTTACTACAATATTAGACTCTTGTCTTAGTCAATCGTTATCAAATCGTCCAAATATCTCTCAACAACCTCTTTATATTCCATTTCGTCCTGATAAATCAATAGATTACGAGCCTATCCAATGGCAAACAGATTCTTCAATTCCAACACGTTTCATTGTGAAACCATCCTCTCCAAGCCGAATTTTACAACCTCGTAATGAACCAACAAATGATAATAATACAAATACTGTTATACTCGATGATAATGATGATCAAAACTATGTGGATGCTGTTGGCGATGAAGAAAATGAAGTACCAAAAATAACAATTAAGAAAAAAGGAAAAAAGAAAAAACAACAACCAAAAGTGAATACCATTACAACGAATAATGATGTTTCAATACAATTAAATACTTCATCAAATAGAATTTCTTCGGCAGGACATAAGTTTCCAGTAAGTACCTTTCTATAAAATCTTAAATTTTTTACATGTTAAATGGAATTGTTTCAAGCAAAAATTATCATCAAAATGGTCATCTGGTAAACGAATATCAGGTATTGGTAAAACAAGTGCTATTCGTAAAGTAAATAAAATAAAATAGAAATTAAAAATTGAAAAATTCAATATATTTGATTAGTTTGCACGTCCATCACATGATCGTCAAAATCGTGCTGATTCACGTACATTGTTTCATAATAAACCATCGGTAACAATCAATACAAATCGTCTTAGTCAAGAACAACGTGAACAATTAGCGCGTGCTGCTGAAGAACGTAAACAAGAAGAACGAAAACGTAAAGTTGAAAAATGTAAGTAATCAAAAAACTACAAAAAGGATGCCTGTCCGATAAGATGAACACCCTTCATTTGAAAAACCATCTATACCGTTCTGTAGAACAATTTTTAGCGCGCCGAACGGTATATAGGATAGAGTTTCATACTCGAATCACATCCGGCTACTCAGAATCTAAATTCTTAAGAAATAAAATAAAATGAAAATCAATCTTTGTAATAGTCCATTCTTGTGTACCCTCCAGAAGTCCCAAAGCGAGATTTTTCCCCAGTTTTGAAAGATCTATATATATGTCAAATGGAAGAGTATGAAGAACTTGTTATTAATAGATAGAAATTTTTTCGCTCAAAAAGTATTTATTGCAAAATTTATACTTTTTTGTCCTTAGGAATAGAAAAATTGACTTTTTTAAGGCATGGTATTTCTGAGAAAGTTGCACGATTGGTCACCTTTATCCTTAGGAACACTAGAGAAGAATTTAACATATCATTAAGTTCAAAAGACGACGCAAAACTTTATTGGAGTAGCTTCAAACAGAATTTGATATAGGTTGTTTTGGCCGCATATTAAGTCATGACATTTGGTGAAAATATTTACAATTGTTATAATATTCCTTAACTTGTATATGACTTCTCGGGACGTTAAAAGTTGATGAAAAATAAATTTCATATAAACCATCCGACATGCCCATCAGTTGTTCTACAAAATGATGTAGGTACTTTTTCAAATGAAGGTATCTCATCTCATTCGACAGAATTCTGTTCATTTTTATTCAATTTTTTTTCTCAGTACATGAACAAGCTAAAAAACGAGAAGAAGTTCTTAATCGTGCTAAACAAATACAACAAGATAAAGATCAAAAAAATCAATTACGTGTCTCTGATAATCAATCAAAAATTGCTGGTACAAATCAAAATAAAAAAGCACAAAATAATAATTTTAATAATTCCACAACATTTAATAATTCAATGAATGAATCAACAACAACAACAACAACAACAACATATATTAAACCTATTGCACAACTATATAAACCTGTTCTATTAGATACAACAAGCAACAAACTTTTAAATCAAAATAAAATAATAAAAAATCAAACAAATCCATTAAAAAAACCAACAACAACAACAACGAATGCTGAATATACATTTGTTGTTGATAAAAATAATCCATTACGAAATGATATAACATTACCATCAAGTTCTATGATTCAACCAAATTCACACCATAAAGCTGACTGGACAATATTACTAACATCAGGCACTATTCATGATGAACTTGAACTTGATACAACAATAACGTTAGTTTGCAATTTTTTTCTTTTTCTTTTCTTTCAAATAAAACAAAAAAAAATCCTTGCTTTTCTAGTGATACAACTCATCATTCAGATGATGGTGATTATGGAATAGAAGATATACGTTCAGATCAAGATTCAGATAATGATGATGAAGATGAAACACGTATACCTAGTTGGGCTAAAGGTTGTTTTTTTTTCTTTTGTATCTCATAGAAAAACAAAAGAACTTTGATTATGTGTTTTCTTTAGAACGTTTATTTCAAACATTTTGGACAACTCAAGGTCATTGGTATTTATCACGGCGAACACTTAAATTAACTCGTCGTACATTTGGACATTATCCAACAATAAAAGATCAAGTACAAATGTGGCTTAGAGATCTTAAATCAAGTAAACCATTATCAGAAACATTTACCGATGCAACATATCTTGATCAAACACAAGCATATTTTTGATAGATTTTCAGATTATTTCTTTTTTATATTCTTTTCTCTTTGATTAGTCAGATAATAGTTACGAAATTAAAAAAAAATAAAAAAAAATATATATATATGTAATATATTATGAGCAGATATTGAGATTCAAATAATTATGTATTTATCCATTGTTTGTTATTCTTTACTAATAAAACAGAAAAATAAAAGATGCAAGAAAATAATAAAATTTGTCTAAGAAAAAAGAAGTCAATTTTTATCATCTGTAATAAAAAAAAGATCGATTAAAGGAAAACAAAAGGGGACAACTCCGCTTTTCATATAGTTATTTGTTTTTATAAATCATTAAAAATTGGATTATTGACATTAAATTTACAATATCTCTATGATTATCAATTGATATACGCATTAATGATTGTTTTGGATAAATAAATCTTCTCTTCTCATTATTTGATTATGTCACATCATTTTCAGATTTTTTTTATAGAAACTTTCATCATACAAATAATGAACAATAACATGAGCAGGTTAAGGATTGACAGCAAACACTGATGGCATTGAAGATAATTTGACGTACTAGCTGATGCAAATGACTTATTTCGTCATTTCTATAAAGAATTCACTGATATACTTATTTAAGTCATTTTATAACAGAGACAATTAATAAAAGTTGTTACTGAAAACCATACGAGGTTAAAATATGAAACACGATGTAGCTGCTCTTGTTAATCTGAAGAAGCTTGTTTTCTTTTCTAACTATTCTGGGACATATTTCTTCAACATCCTTTCATTCAATCTTCCAGAAATTCGATAAGGAAGTGGTAACGAAGCGTTATTGATGCACGGTCTATGATCGTATATCAACATATGCCATGATCTGTGGAGAGGAGGGAGGGCATATTTTTTGCTTCTATACTCCAATACTTTTAGGTCATGTTCCACAAAATAAAATATACTACAATGTACAGCGTGAAAAGTTCTACATGTTATAAATGCCAGTTTATTTTTATAGCTGCATTTTTTGTCGTCAAAATAGACAAAATTTTGTACGATTAATTACCGACGATGCGGAAATGATCTTTTTTTTAAGCAAACGACCGCTTCGCTTTTCTATCTTATCGATTGAAGATAATTTTATTCACTGAAAAAAACATATTTTTTATCACAACATGTTTATGCTGTACGACTAACAAGATCGCATTGCAAAAAAGCAACTAACAAGAATTAGAATGTGATTAGATACATCTTAAAATGATCTTACTTTTTCAATTATATTTAAACCTGCTGAAACGTTAACATTTGAAAATTATATATTGAAGTTATCCTCCCACATACGCAGTCAGAAAGTAAACAGTTCTTGAGTGATGATTTCATCTATCAACAAGACACCGCTATGTCAGACACATATCAAAAATCATTGGTATATTATGAAGAATATTTCATGTATCTTATAAACAATCATAGATAATCATTCAATGATCTTAATATCAATGTTTTGGATTATTACAGGTGAGATGTTATCATCAGTAATATGAAAAAGGACAAAATTAAAAAAATGATTCATCAATTGCTGAAATAGAAAAAAACAATTCGTCATATGTTTATAAATGGTCTTGTTTGCAGAATCGAAAATTGGTCCAGCCGACTTTTTTAGATCTTGAAAACAAAATATGTAGTTATAAAATAAATTGTCCTTTATTAAATATAGAATTTTTTATGCTGCATCTTGTTGTATATTTCGTATCTGTAATGAAACTTATTAAGTGATGAAAAAATAGAATACAAAAGATGTCCATTCATTATACCCATCCGTTATAGTCATGGTAGAAATATACAAATCTATGCATAAATGATTCTAGACGAGAAGATAGACTCTAGATTCTCACTACAGTTCAAAATAAATATTTTACATCGGTTTTTGACTTCTAAACACTTATTTGAGAAAAAGAAGGAGGGTCTCAGTTTTTGCCGTAAAGAAAAGGTACTCTAGCATCTTAGATAGGTAAGTATGTTAGAAGTAGAACTAGACACTTATAGTTCCTTCTCAGAGTAAAAGTATCTTGCCTTTTAAGAAACGTCAACACATTTTCATACATTGTCTCTCGACAGAACAAGGACTGAACTCTTAGAAGAAATCAATTGCGTAAGCACAAAACACATAAATACTCCGAAAGGTGTGAACAATTTACTTTTGAGAGTAACGATACATGTTTATCTCTAGTCAGCAGATGATAAAACAATATACTCGCGAATATTTTTAACCAATCCTTATTTACTCAATTCATATGCTAAATAGAACAATATCACGTACTACATAGAGTCAACAGAAAACTTCCTAGTGAGATATAGCAATGCTCATCTAGTCCGCAATAATAAAATTTCCATGGAATTCATTCAATATTTGCATAATTCTAGTATAAAACAGCGAAACTCAAATAGAACTTTTTCATTCTATCAGTAAATTGTTATGTCGCCATCAGAATCGTTAAAGATAAATTGAGAAAACTATACGTATGTTCTTTGTTCATTATTGACATCTCATAGCAAGCTCATTCTAGATTAGATTGTTACTCGCTAAACAACTTTCATTTTTTGTTTGTCTCGCTTTGCAGAATGCATCTATTATAATATTATCAAATACAAACCAAGCATAACATTACATCCAACTAACAAATAGGAATTATTAACATGACTTCAAATTTTCTGAAATCAAATTACTATAAACAATGGAAACTCTGGTGTTAGACTAGAAGTTTACTTCAGTCTTGTTAAATGGATAAAGTTCTCAACAGAATTCTCTTGTTGATAAGAGAACTCATGAAATATAGCTATTCCAGCACAAGGTATCCAATACTTCGATCCTATCTGGAAACTCTTTGAATTTGACTTAGTTTGGACGGATTCTGTCTGAAGTTGGTGAAATCAAAGGATAGAATTTTGCCAGTTGAATTCGATTAACGCAATCCTGTTTTGGGCTGCCGTAAACTTCAAATAGGATTCCGTCGAATCTAATAGAATTTTACAGAGGAGTTTTGACTTGAGGTCATGAAGAAATACGACTACATCACAAAATTCTTCAATTCGTAAGCTAGATCGATTTAAAATTTCACTATATTTACATTTCTAACTATCTTTGTATCTTTCTTGCATATTCCTACAGAAAAAAGCCGTTGGGCATAAAATGTCAAGACAACAAAAGAAAATGAATTTTTAATAGCAGAAGTCTTCATTGAAAGATGACATTCATATTTTCAGACTAAAGCTATTAATAGAAGTGACACACTCCTGCAAAGTTGACATTATTATTCAACATTACATATTGTCTAAATTCATGTTATTTTTGGGAAGAATATATGTGCTCATCTCACTACTTGTCATTGATGAATATGAATAAAAGTATAAAAGGCGCATACTTTAAAAGAATCAGTGCTTTCACTGAAACTGTACATCCCTAGAGCAAATGATTACTTGAGCTATCATATACTTAAAATGATTGATATGCCTGCATTTAAATCGTGAACGAAAACATGAACTCATGACAAATTATTGATGCATAAACATTTATTTCCGCATGAAATGACTTTGTAGTTACTTTTTTTTTCTTTAATTATTGTAAACATTAAGTAAGATTTGTTAAAAATTGAATTTGTATTCGTTTTCTAGATATCTTGATCACACAAAATAGTAGATGATACACTGGTGAAATAATAATATATGTAAAATCTATAGAACTCTAATCCAAGGTATACATGACAAAAAAGATTTTCACATGAACGATTTTTGAATGCAAGGAAATATGTTAAGTGATTATTAATTCAATTGAACTCTTTTCAACTCGTCGGTTCCTCCCCTCAAAACAAAAACAAAAAACAAAAACATAGAACTCAATCAATGTAAAAATTGCTGAATATTTTCTTAGACGTCTTCTTCTTTAGGCTATCTTTATGTTATTTTTACAAATGACTGACGATAACTGTTGGCTGTCCGTTTCTCTTTATTGATAATAGATCATTCAATAGACTATTGATATATGTGTTCAAGCACGTTTCATTTCCTTCTGACCGTTCTATTATGTTTCTAACATTAGCCATGTTTGCTTCTCGTAGTCCTCCCTCCACTTTTTTTGTTTCTTTGTCTATTTCTTTCTCGGCTCATCGTGACTCGAGTGTGATCGACGAACACATTGATTAGTTCTTCTTCATTCATTTTGCTGTCTACTTGCGCCACATATATTTGATATACTCATTCTTTTACAACTGCTTACAGTTATACTTGATTAAATACATAAATAAATATTCTAAATGGCAGATTCATTAAATAAAGATACTGAAATAGGTAAAGATAAAGTAACAGGTATGTAAACTCATTTTTTAAATCCTTAATTAATATAATACAAACACAATATATGTATACATATAGGAGCTACATCGGAAACTAGTAATGAAGCTAGTCACAGTATGTTTTAGTAGTTTATAGAAATAAAAATAAATGACTTATGTTTATGCTAAGGTACTGATGCTACAAAAGATAAAGTTGATGAAAATAAATCTGAAACATCGAAAGAATCAAATAAAAATAGTGTTGAACATGATGTTAAAAGTTTTGTTGAAGCCGTTAAAGAAAAAGCTGCTGAAGCGTAAGTGTCTGTTCTTATTATTTCAATTCACAGAATTTATATATTTAGATACAACTATGTTGCTGGTGGTGAAGGCGAAGGAAAAGGTCTTGTTGGAACTGTAAAAGAAAAGGCTGCCGAAGCGTATGTTTATTTTATATACTACTTTTCTTTATTTCATTGAGTGAATTTATTATATTTAGTTACCATTATGTTGCTGAAAAAGTTACTGAAGCAACACATGCTGTAACTGGTGATTCTCATAAAGAAGTAGCTAAGGATTCCAATCAATCAAGTGGTGCAAATGCAACTGCTGATGTTGCTACGGACAAGGTTAATGAGAAACCAAACGAAGTTCAAAAGTAAAACTTATTTTGAACAAACATGCTCAATAATAATAATAAAAAAGAACAAAATAATAGACACTGAAATTTAAAACAAGAAACGATATTGTAGTTGATTTGTTTTATCTCAATATTAATTATTCTCACTATATAAATATTTAATTCTACCAGCTAACATTCAAATCATTTTTATGCATGTGTATCTTTATGTGTTTATTAATATTTGTTGTGGCTGTGTATATATGTACAGTTTTAACAACATCTTTTAGTTGTTAGTATTATTATTTAATGTTTTATTCGTATGGTTTTTAATGTTGTTGCAATAAGAAAAAAACATGGACAAATATAAAACAGACACAGCAAACTTATATATGTCTAAATGATTGCTTCTTTGAATGATATTATCAATAATGATGATTGAAAAGAGATATATTAAGATCTAAGATAAACTGATTGATTAACTGAATTCTGATTTAATTGAAGAGATAAACGTTTATCAAAACTTATCAATGGCATTCCTATATATATATATGTGTCGACTGGTATTTATATCTTTTGTAGTTTTTGATCGATAAATTGTTTATCAAAGAATGATACTTATATAAATAGAAAAATCATCGTGCATTGTTTGATAGAATCTTTATACGCCACCAATTATCGTAGGAATATTGTTTATTCAATGTCTAAAATGAATCAAATGTGTACTTAATCGAACCATTCAATGATGAAACAGCTGTGAATGTGTATTAAAGGAAAGCAATGCTCTTTTATTCTTGACTATTAAGGAAATATGCATGCAGATGTTACACTCTTCTTTTCTTTCATGTCTTTAAAAAGAAATAAGTAACATTTATCATATGAAATAAATTGTTATATTAATAAACTTTCAATATCAAATTTTATCTAAATTCTATTTGTTTAACAATAGAAGACAACAACTTATATGCTAAGTTTCATTTGATTGAAATGTGAAAGTTTTTCATTAATGAAACATCAATTTTTTATTACTTTTTCTTATCGATTAATCTTCCGTCGATCAAAACAATATATTAATGTGCTTCCTATTGCAATTTCATCAATAAAAAACAATGTCACTCGAATTATAATCATGAAACTTCTAACATGACATTTTTCTTTTATAATAGAAAACCATATTATTAAGAAAAGAAATAATACATTACAAAGACTTCGATTTCTTACTAGCGCAAAATCAGATTGTTTTAGATTTTATTATTTATTTAAAATGAATCTTTAGAGAAGAAATTCGTTTAAATAGAGCCGACACTTAATCACTTTTAAATCTTGTTATATAACACGTGATTAAATTGATTGTAAGGATTCGCTTATTATTACGCATTATAGCTATGCATCATTACATAGACAATGACAAAAAACAACTGAACCATGACTACATTTTTCAAAGCACACTTAGGCTTCTTATATCCATAATTCAGTAAAAATAAGTTTATGAACATACAGTACTGATCCAAAATCATCAACCATAGACTGTAAAAATAAAATTTCAAAAGTGTAAATTTTTTTCCTCTACAGTGCCGTTCGTCTAAGCAACCAATTTCAAATTTTTTATACAAAAGAAAATTTTTCAATAAACTCTTGCAAAAAAAATTTGAGTTCTTGTCAACATCTAGCAGCATCTATCGATAAAAGTAGTCTGATTAAAAAATCTACTTTGATTGCATGCTAATATTTACCATTTGAAGTCTTATATCCATGTTTTAAATTTATTCTCTATCTGGCCCAGCACAATCTATTTTCAGATCAAACGAAAATGTATACTCGTTGTAATGTTTTAAGAAACGTTGTTCAAAATTTCATTGCCTCAAATTCATATAGTCGTTTCATTCGTTTTCAATCATCTGCAGCTTATGTCGTAGCAGATACTTTACAAAATTCTAAGTAGAAAAAACATTTTTTCTTAAAATAAAAAAAACTTCTGTTTTGTTATTTCTAGTTTAAAAACGAGGAATCGTTATTATACAGAAGATGTCTTTCTTGATTTAACAACAGATTATAATCGTAGAAGATTTGTTCAAAGTGAACTTGTTTCAAATGCTATTAAAAATATTAATAATAATATATCTGAAAGACTTAGTTTATTAATATTAACAGTCGCTGCTCGTTGTGTTCATCATGTTACACCAGATAAACGTGTTCAATTATTAGAAGAAGTAAAATGAAAAATCTTTTGTTGTTTCTTTTTTCAAATTAATGTTTTTGATTTTTTTTTTTACAGGCATGGAAAACATTAAATGATAAAAAGGTTCGATTAACAACGCGTCATTATGAAACATATTTAAGTGGTCTTAATGAAAATGGTTTTATATTTGATGCTGATTATTATTTAAAATTAATTGATAGTGAACAAATACAAGCAACACCTCGTCTCTATAGTTTACTTTTAACTCAGTACGTGTTTGTTTTATCTTTGTTTAAAAGATAATCTAAAAAATGTATTTTTAATAAATAGATATTGTCGTGAAGGTAATACAGATCGTGCACAAAATTTTTTAAAAATGCTCAAAGAACGTAATGTAAGCATTGATGAAGATATATTTGCTGCATTAGTTGTTTGTCAACTTAAACTTGGTAATGATAAAGGTGCTAATGATATAATACAAATAATGAAAGAACGTGGTTTACAACCAACTATATCAACATATAAAGAAATTTTAACAGCACTTATTAGCGAACATAAATTAGAACAATTTGAATATTATTTTGGTCAAATTGAATCTCAACAACGTCAAACATCATCATCAACTGTTTATATTGATGCACATTTTGTTGTTATTTTACTTGGACAATGTATTTCATATAAAGAACGTCCAATATTTGATTTATTATTAAATACATTAAAAGAACTTGATCATGGACGTATGTCAAATAATTTATTTAATTTAGCTCTGCAATGTGTAACAAATGAATGGCATGAATCAGCTATTGAATTATTAAAAATGCAATCGGAAGCTGAATCAATCGATGAAGAAATATCACCTTATCAAGGAATTAATGGACGTCATTGGATACTCTTTTTCAGGTAAAGACTTTTTTATTTTGTATTCGAAACTCAATGCAAATCAAGCATTGAGATAGATATTTGAAAATCTTCATTTTGGAGTTAAGATATTGAGAAAACTAAGTAATCAAAAAGACCAGCTAGACTGATGGATAGAATATTTCCATTATTACCTTGTTTATTCGAAGCGAAAGATTTACTTGGTCATTTTTAATAAAAAAATGCACTATATATTTAGCAGGCAGTGAAAGATCACTAGCGAACATCTATCTATAGCTAACATTAGAATAATGAATAGAATTCGAACTTGGAAAGATAGAATCTGTTGATAATTAATTTGAGATTAGGTCAGAAATTAGAAACATCAATTTATCCAAGTATTCAGATACAATAAGATTAAATAATAAACAGCAGTTCAAATTTCATTTAAATATAATCTGCTTTTTAGTTTGAAATTTCAATTAATTTAATTCTCAATATTTTTTTCTAATCTATCGAATCCATCTCAGATCAATGATTTGGGTGTCAGGATCTATGAATTTTCAACAGGTTCTCGCAGGAAAAACATTGTTTCCGAGCCGAAAAATTCAGTAAATTATGAAAAACTTGAAAGAAAGAATCCGGTAATCGAATCCGGTGGCCGGATTTTGTGTTTATTTCCGGGCAGAGCTAGTCACCAGATTCTTACTTCCGAGTTCCTACCGTTCTTCCTCATTTTCCGGTTGGAAACGATCTGTATTTCTAGGCCTGGACAGTACAATGTTCATATATCATCTAACGAATTTCTTTTGTAGAAACAGTAGCAAAATTTTCTTGATATTAAGATGAAAAATTCTAAAATATGTTTTTTTTTTTGTATTTAGACAATTAGTTGATAATAAAGAACCTCATCTAATGGATATATATCTTAAATTAATGATGGAAAAAAATTTAGTACCACTTGATGGTATTCTTCGTGTTTTATATACAACACCAAATGAAAATTATCCTTTAGCACTTAATTATCTTGAACGTGGACAAGAATTAAATCATCCAATGCGTACAAATTATTTTTATCCAATTCTATTAAATATATATTCATCAGAAACGTGTCAAAATTGGACAGATAATGATCGTTTACGTTTATTTCGTTTACTTGATCGTCTATCTATACCAATTGAATCATTAACATATTCAAGACTAATACAATCAATATTTCATCAATATTATCAAAATGATTTTACATCATTATTTAATATGTTATCAAAAAATAATCTACAATCAATACTTGATCGTATATGTCGTTTATTATTAAATGATATACGACGAAATATGCTTCAAATAAATGTAATTGAACAAATAGCACCATTTTTTCGTTTACATGTACGTTCAAGACAAGAAGAATTTGCAAGATATTTATTTTCTACAATGACTGGTATATCAACAAAGTAAAAATAGTTAAAACTTTTCTTTTTGTTTTTATTTATCTTTGTGCTATTATAGATCAGATGAACATAATGATGAAGAAATCAATAAAAATTCTCAAAGAAAATCTATGAATGATTATACAACAATATTTCAATTAATTGATTCAATATCAAAAAATTTATCAAATGATATTCCAATGCTTAAACATGAATTATATATATATTTACTTCGTCTTTCAGCTCAACATCGTCGAACAGATTTAACATCACGATTAGCTGAACAATGTATAAAAGATAATCTTAAAATTGGTGGTTCAATGAATGAAATTGATATATTAACTAGTTATACATTACCACGTGATATTGTTGAACAATTAGCACGTTATAAACCAGGTGAAATGTCATGGAAAGAAAAAGTTTCAACTATGGATTTACAAAAAGCAAATCGTCAACAATTAGAAGAACTTTATCAAGAAGCAAAACAAGATGGAAAATATCCATTTAATTTACAACAACGATTACTAGATAATTATATTCAAAAAAACTCTATAAAAAAAGCATTTACTATTTTACATGAAATGGTTTCAAATAGACATCAGGTTTGAATAAGTTTTTATTTAGAATAAATAATTAATCGTTTCTAAGAAAATAAATATGAGTTTATTCGAAAAATTGGAACCTCTTGAAAAAAATTCGAAAGCTTAGTCAAATATCAATAGGAACCGAAAAAAATTTTAGAGTTTTTTTTATTAGAATACTATGTAGTATCTCCAGGGAAAAAAAAAACTATCGAACTCGGAAGCGGACATCTGAGGGGCTTTCCTCGTAAGTGTATGTTGTGTAACAAAAATTTCAAAGATATGATAGCGAAACTTCGAAGGAAGTAAAAACAAGTTGCGCATAAATCTCTCAAGAAATTTTGATTATAACTCACTGAAAAATGAAATGTATTTTTTATTATTTGTTATAGTTATAATCTAAAAGTCGATGAATAAATTTATTATTAATTATGGCTACTATTAGAAGAACTTTATCAAGAAGCAAAACAAGAAAAAAATATTCATTATTTAAATAATATACTGCGACGAAAAATAATTTCGCTCATGAGTAATTGACATATTTGGAAATATATATGACAATATCTACATGATAGTTTTTCTCTAAATATATTTTCGAGTGGGTGTTTACATCTGAGCAGGAGTGTCCCGAGGCAAGAGTCCGTCGGATTAGTCTCGAAAACTTTCAACCTAACGAACCCTAGCCAAGGTTTAAAGGGTTCGAGAGGGAACCCATACAAAGGTTTTATACTGAAATTGGTTGAATTTATGAGAATGGTTTGAGTGTTAGTGAACCAATACGAAAATTTTGGAATTTATTTTTCGATATTCTATTAGAAAAAAACAAGTCCACAAGATCTTGTACAATATTATTCTGATGCTATGAGAGAAAACAGCAATATACCTTATCTTCATTTATTTAAAGTAAATAATAATAAGAAAAAAAAAATAAAGCAATCATTTATTCATAAACTTTTTTTTTTTCATTATTTTTCTTATTTTATAGTTATTTATTGAAAAAAATGAATTAAATCGTTTACAAGATATTGTTGATATAGCAACATTACAACATGGTTCACGTAATGTTTTACATGATCTTGCTTTTACATTAATAGAAGGTGAAAAAATAAAACAAGCTGAAAAAATTTTTCGAACACCATGGCTTAAAGCAAGAAATAGTCGAATTAATTTACATGCTTTACTTTTTGCTGGTATTTGAAAACGAAAAGAAAAACAATTTGTTTTTCGTTTTCCCTAAGCGAGTTTCTTTTTTGTATTATAGATTCAAATAATCTCGATGCATTAATTGAAGCTATAAAATTAACACGAAATTTACCTGGTGTTAATCAAAGTCAATTATTTACATCAGCTATTCGGTAGAATAAAAGATAAAATAAATAAAGAAATTTTTTTTCTTTTCTATTAATTATAGTGTGGCTTTACGTCTTAATCAATCTGATATGATCGATTGGTTAATCAAAGAAATACAAGAAAATCGAATTCAACTTGATATTCGAATAAAAAAGTATATATATTAAATATTTAATAGAATTAACTCAAGGTCGAGCAAATATTGTATATTAAAACCTCTCAGGAAAGTCAATTCATTAAAATAATTTCATAGATTTGAATTATTAATAAAAAAGGAATCGATTAGATTTAATTCATATTATAGATTGCACATATACTATTCAAAATGAGTACTTTTATGTGAAATAATAAATTTAAATATTATTCTTTTTTGCGAAAAAAGAACTTTGCAAGTTTTTTATTTCTTCATGTGAACTTTTTTGTCTTATATGTACCACAGTCTTTTCTTTTTTCGAACAACGAATTATATTATACATCGAGGATTGGAAATAATTGCGTATGCGCTAGAGTATTCTTATTGTAATGATATACATTTAATGTTACTTGCTTAATCAATCCTAATTTTTGAGTTCACTGATTTTTACTTGCAAGTGATTCGTCTAGGTCTTTGACACATATGGTAGTTAGCGGAATCCAAGAAGAGATCAGTCCTGTACTGACAATATTATACTTTGATATAATATTAATAAACTCGAATGAAAAGTAACATCAATTGGTTCTTGAATCTTTTTGTTTTTTAAATAATTCCGTACTAATATGGTTAAAAACTTGAATAGTACAATACATTGAAGCTATTAATATCAGAAGACAAGTGCGATGTAGATGAAAAAGAAATTTTGCCGGTGTATTTGCAAGATTTGCGATGTTTTGTAATCCTTACTCTCGTCATAGATCGTGACAGACATTTGGTATAGCACTAAAGGCCCAATGTCCTCGATATAAACTTTTAAAATTGTATCTATCAAAACCAAAAAAGAAAACCGCGTATTACATATGCTCTATATAATCTATTATGATATTTACAAATGCAGATTAGATCGAGGAGATTATATGTTGCGGTGATGTATATTTTGTTAACATAAGATTAACTAAAGATCATAAACCAAGAATAAATCTATGTTTACATCTTCTTATAGCAATATTTTTTATTATTTAGATATCTTGATGCTCATTTATTATCAAAAGGTCTTGACCCATTAAATATCGAAGCTTATAAAAGTCAAAATAAAAATGAAAAAGACTCAATTTCTTCTGCTTCTGATGATTACGATGGTATGAACATTCTATTATCATTGTAAATATTCTCTAGTTCTTTTTATTTCGTTTTAGTACCCGTCCAAGAACAGCACAAGATAAGTGCTCAAAATTAAAAATGAACATTTAATTAGGTTAATTCTTTGTGTGTGTTTGATCCTATTAACTTTTTTCTCTCATCATTTTTTGTTGAGCCGCATTGAATTCTTTTTGCTTTGCTGTTTTCTTTTTCCTTTTTCTCTTGTCTTTACTTTTGTTATCCGTGATAAAAACCACACCATATTTCAAACATGCACCTGTATCAACTACTTAAAATTTACAATGAGATCAATCGATAACTTTCAACATTAAGAAACGGATTTACAGTAAGATTGGAAGGTGTCTTTTTTTGTTTTGTTTTGTTTTTTTTCTCTTTTTTTTTTTTGTTATTTTATGACCTTTCATCTTTTATGATGAGAATAAAAACCATTCGTAGCAGAAGAAAAAAAAGTCACCAACACTTAGAGAAGTATTCATTCGTATAAAAAACAGTTTTCAATATGAATACGATTATATGCTTGATTGTATTCATTCATCTATTTATAAATCAAGTACAAACAGAACAATGTGAATTAACATTAAATGATGATGTTCAATTGACAACAAGTATATTTCTTCAATCACGACGTTTTTGTGGTTCATATAATTTTCTTACAAAAAATACACACCAAATATTTATATCAGGACGTTTAGTTGATTATAAAAGCCATTGTAAAAGAAGTATACCTAATGCAAATATTGAAATTATACATGTACAATCAAGTTTTCGTTCAATTTGTCATGAACTTAATCATCCTAATTCACGTGGTTATTTTAATTTATCAACTTCAGTAACAATACCATTAACTGAACAACTTTTCTTACGTGTAACATCACCCGGTTACGAAACAATTATTAAAGAAATTAATTTACCATCATCACAAAAACGGCCACAAACTATTCTTCTCAATTGGCAAATTGTTTTAAGACCAACGAAAGAACAAATTAAGCCACAACAACAACGACAACGTATGAATTCTATGATTGATTCTCTTATGTCTCAAATGACATTAGATGAAAAAATTGGTCAATTAAATCTTGTTACACTAGGTTTTGATGTAACTGGTCCAATTTTAAGTCAAAATGTTGAGGAAAATATTCGTCGTGGCCTTATTGGTGGTGTATTTAATACTTATACACCAAAGGCTGTTGGACCATTACAAGATCTTGCTATGAATAGTACACGTTTAAAAATTCCATTGATTTTTGGTTATGATGTTATTCATGGACATAAAACTATTTTTCCAATATCATTAGGTCTTAGTACAACATGGGATATGGCATTAATAGAACAAAGTGCACGTATTGCTGCTCAAGAAGCAACAGCTGATGGTCTTAATTGGGTATTTTCACCCATGGTTGATATAGCACGTGATCCACGCTGGGGAAGAATATCTGAAGGTGCTGGTGAAGATCCCTGGTTAGGTAGTCAAATAGCTGCTGCTATGGTACGTGGTTATCAAGGACATGATTTAGCACGTTCGAATACAGTTATAGCATGTATTAAACATTTTGCTTTATATGGTGGTGCAGAAGCAGGTCGTGATTATAATACAGTTGATATGAGTCGTATAACAATGTATCAGAGTTTTCTTCCACCTTATCTTGCAGCTGTTAATGCTGGTGCTGGTAGTGTAATGACATCATTTAATGAAATTGATAGTATACCAGCATCAGCCAATCGTTGGTTATTACAAAATTTATTACGTGAACAATGGAATTTTAATGGATTTGTTGTTACAGATTATACAGCAATAAATGAAATGATTCATCATGGTATAGGTGATTTACAAGAAGTAAGTGCTCGTGCATTAAATGCTGGTGTTGATATGGATATGGTTGGTGAAGGATTTTTAACAACATTAAAAAAATCTTTAGATGAAGGAAAAATAAATGAACAAACAATAAATCAAGCATGTCGCCGTATTCTTGAAGCAAAATATAAATTAGGTTTATTTGATGATCCATATCGTTATATTGATGAATCACGTACACAAACAGATATATTTACTTATGAAAATCGTTTAGCAGCAAAAGATTTTGCTCGCCGTTCATTTGTTCTTCTTAAAACTGATGGACGAACATTACCATTAGCAAGATCAAATTTAAATCTTGCACTTGTTGGTCCATTTGCTAATGATCATAGAAATTTAATCGGTAGTTGGAGTGCTGCTGGTGATTGGCGACAAGCAATTAGTGTTCTTGATGGTATTCATAAACTTCTTGGAAATCAAATACAAATTTTACATGCAAAAGGATCAAATATTATTGAAGATGCACCTTTGATTGAACTATTAAATGCACATGGTGGTGACATTATATTAGATGGACGATCTGCTCAAGAAATGATTGATGAAGCTGTAGAAATATCAAAAAAATCTGATGTTATTGTTGCTGTTGTCGGTGAATCACAAGGTATGACAGGTGAAGCAGCAAGTCGAGCAGATATTGGAATGCCAGAATGTCAAAAACGCTTACTTAAAGCATTATTTGATACAGGTAAACCAGTTGTTATTGTATTAATGAATGGTCGACCAATGACATTAACATGGGAAAATGAATATGCAGCAGCAATTTTAGAAACATGGTTTGCTGGTACAGAAGCTGGTAATGCTATTGCTGAAGTACTTTTTGGTTTTTATAATCCAGCTGGTAAACTTACAACAACATTTCCTCGTCATGTTGGACAAATTCCATTATATTATAATCATAAAAATACTGGACGACCATTTAATTCAACTCAATTGACTGAAAAATATAAAGTAAAGAAGAATTTATTTTGTTTCATATGTTTTAGGATATATTCTTCTTTTTTCTATTTAGAGTCGTTATATAGATTTACCTAATGATCCATTGTATCCATTTGGTTATGGTCTTAGTTATACATCATTTAGTTTTGGTTCAATACGTGTAGACAAAAATGAACTTCGTGGTGATTCCGATCGTTTAACTGTACGCATTAATGTACATAATGTTGGTGCATATGGTGGTGAAGAAGTTATTCAATTATATATAAGTGATCCAGAAGCAAGTGTAACACGAGCTGTACGTGAATTAAAACAATTTAAAAAAATATTTCTTCGATCACAACAGCAAGAAGAAATTTCATTTATTATAACAACAAATGATTTAAAATTTTTTAATACTAATCTAGATTATGTTTGGGAACAAGGAGATTTTATTATTCATATTGGTCCTGATTCAGTTAATACTCAATCAGTACGAATTAAGTGGCTCAAATAGAAAACTACGAAAAGAAAATAATAATACAACAAACAATTTCATTCCTTCTTATTCATAACGAACAAAAACAGATTTCGAAAAACAAAATAAATATTTTTTTTTTTTATTTTTTTAATTCATACAAAATTCTTGATTTCTTATTTAGATTAATAAACATATACCTGTAATAGAATTTCAGAGCATATTTAAATTCAATATGATTTTATCAAATCAAGTTGTTAATTGATTTCAACGAAATACGTTAAATTAACTACTAAAATTTTGTAGAAAATTTTAAAGAAGATATTTTTCACTTGTAAATTTTTATAAATGATTTATTTTATATCCGATTCAAAATTTTCTATCGATTTGTAAACTTATTTGAAATACGTTTTTTGCATTGAATTTTAATTGTTACAAAATAATATTTCGAGGCAGTGTTGCTCTGTCAAACATATAAGAAGATTAGAGTCAATCTAATATTTGTATTATGCAAATTAAGTTCTGACATTTCTTCTTTTTTTTTTTTTTTTTGTATTACATGTGATTAAAAAAAGAAAAAAATGGTCCTATTGTATAAGACCTTGAATATGTCAACGAGATCAATTTTGAAATTGATCAGATACTTAGTGAGAAAAAACTCATCAATGGTACTAATATTTCATCGCTAAAAAAAATCAATTCATTTTGATAAACAAAAATCCTATTTTTTCTTTATTAACATCGAACATTCAAAGAAAAAACACAATACAATACAAGACAAGAATCTTAATTCAAATATATCGAATAATATAATTTATTTAATGCATATAAGTAATGTGTGTATGTGTGTGTATTTATACTCAAAGTATAGATATTGACGCTTTCACAATCATTTATATGATGCTCTCATGCCGTGCGTTTGTTTCACACTTGTTATTATTTCAAACAGCGTTTTTTTTTCGAATATAGTGAAGTGCTTATGTATAATACTGTATATTTTTAAATACGATGAGTATGGCAAAGATCAACATTCACTTCTATAAGTTCATTTGTTCTTTTCACTTCCATTAGACGATATGAATGATAGATGATCATTGTATTTGTCCTTGAAAAAACTTATTTCTTTTTTTTTATTTTGTTCTTTATTTTAATTATTCATTCGATTTATCTCTTTATCAACGTTTCAAATTTCTTCTAACATATTTAATTCAAAAGATTGTCCCGCCTTTTTTCTTCTTAACACGCATACATATGAATGGGTCATTTGACAAGCTTCTTTAATCGGATATTATTCCATTTCTTTTTCTTTCTTTTTTTTTCTCTTTGCTATTTTTAACTCGTTATTCAATAGATTTTACATCATGCATTGTTAAAAATCTTTAGAGTTTATCATATAGAAATGACATTGAACACTTTCGTTTCTTTATAAGCATACTATGTTAGTATGTACGTGTGTCATACACGCTTGATTTTTTTTTCCTTTTTTTTTTTTTCCTCAAAGTATAACGATTGATTGAAGAAAGACAGAAAAGAGAAGAAGTATAGGTAATTTGCTACACGAATCAAACTTCAATTGTTCGGCTGAATAACGTGGCCAATCGACGTATACATAAACGTCGTAAATTATAGCCTATGAGACGAAAGAAGAGAGGTGATTGTCAAGAGATAACATACGAACATACAGTGTAAACGTCAATATACATGTGTAATTAGTACATATATGAATATATACATACACGCATAATTTGTACCAATATGTTTA